TCTGTTCTCTCTCTCTCTCTCTCTCTCTCTCAAAAATAAACTTAAAGAGAGAGAGCTGGAGGGGCAGAGAGAGAGAGGGAAAGAGAGAATCCCAAGCGGGCTCTGTGCTGTCAGCGTGGAGCCTGATGCAGGACTTGAGCCCACTAGCTGTGAGATCATGACCTGAGCCAATATCAAGAGTCAGATGTTTAACTGACTGACACCTCTAAGGGGCCCCTAAGATCTAATTTAACTGGCCAGTATATACTGCAACATTGTTAATTAATTATGGCCCCCATGCTGTCCATTAAATCCCCAGAACTTAACTCATAGCTGGGAATTTGTGCCCTTTGACCAACGTCTCCCCATATACCCTGCTCCACAGCTACCATTCTACTCTCTGTTGCTGTGAGTTCAGCTTTTTTAGGTTCTGCATACAAGTGAGAAACACTGGGTGTTTTTCTTTTTTTTTTTCAATGTTTGTTTATTTTTGAGGGGGAGAGTATGAGTGGGAGATGGGCAGACAGAGAGGGAGACTGAAAATCCTAAGTAGGCTTCGCACTGTGAGTGCAGAGCCTGATGTGGGGCTCAAAGTCACGAACCGTGAGATTATGACCTGAGCCAAAACCGAGAGTCAGACTCTCAGCAGACCGAGCCACCTAGACACCCCTGTTTTTCTTTATTTGACTTATTTCACTTAGTATAATGGCCTCAAGGTCCATCCATGTTGTTGCAAAAGGCAGGATTTCCTTTTTATGGCTGGATACTATTCCAACATGCGTGTGTACACATGGATGAAGAAATACTATAGACACATACGTCAATATTTTGTCTCTGCATTCATCCGTCAGTGGGTAGTACTTATGTTGTTTCCATGTGTTGGCTATTGTGAATAATGAAGCAGTGAACGTAAGGGTGCAGATATCTCTTAATACCCTGTTTTCATTTCTTTAGATATATACCCGGAAGTGGGGTTGCTGGATCATATGGTAGCTCTATTTTTAATGTTTTTTAGGAACCTCCATACTGTTTTCCATAGTGACTGCACCAATTTACATTCCCATCAACAGAGCACGAGGGTTCCCTTTTCTCTACATCCTCATCAGCACTGGTCTCTTGTCTTTTCGACACTAGCCGTTCTGACAAGTGTGAAGTGATCTCTTACTGTGGTTTTGATCTGTATTTCCGTGATGATTAGTGGTTGGGTACTTTTTCACGTGCCTGTTGGCCCTTTGTATATCTTTCTTGAAAATATGTCTATTTAAGGTTTTTTTCCCAATTTTTAAAAAAGTTTGTTTACTTTTGGGTGTGCATGGCTAAGTTGGTTAAGCGCCTGACTCTTGATTTTGGCTCAGGTCATGATCTCACAGTTCATGGCCTCAAGCCCTGCATCAGGCTTCACACTGACAGCTCAGAGCCTGCTTGGGATTCTCTGTTTCCCTCTGTCTCTCTTTTTCTCTCTCTCAAAAATAAATAAATAAACATTTTTTTTAGTGTGTGGTTTTTTGTTTTGTTTTGTTTTGTTTTGTTTTTTTAAATAATCTCTATACCCATTCTGGGGTTTGAACTTAACAGCCCTGAGATCAAGAGTCACATGTTCTGACTGAGCTAGCCAGGCCATCTTTGCCCATTTTTAATTGGATTGGTTTTGCTTATTTATTTATTTATTTGCTATTGAGTCATTTAAGTTCCTTATACATTTTTTATATTAATCCCTCATCAGAGAGCTAGTTTGCAAATATTTTTTCCCATTCTGCAGACTGCCTTTTTATTTTGCTGATTGTTTCTTCTACTGTGCAAAAGCTTTTTAGTTTGATATAGTCCCACTTGTTTATTTTCATTTTTGCTGCCATTGCTTTCGGTGTCATCTCAAAAAAAAAAATCTTTGCCAAGACCCAGGAACTTTCTTCCTGTGTTTTCTTTTGATAGTTTTATAGTTTCAGGTCTTAAATTTAAGTCTTTAGTCCACTTCAAGTTAGTTTTCTGAGTGGTGTAAGCTGGGGGTCCAGTTTCGTTCTTCTGTGTGTAGTTACCAGTGTCTCAATACTGTACATAAGAGAGGCTGTCCTTTCACCCATTGACTCTTCTTGCCTCTCGTTAAATATTATATGTGTGTATGGGTTTATTTCTGGGCTCTCACTGTGTTCCATTGTCTATTTTTATGCCAGTACTGTACTGTTTTGATTACTGTAGCTTTTTAACATAGTTTGAAATCAGAAAGTATGATGTCCCCAGCTTTATTCTTCTTTCTCGAGATTGCTTTGGCTATTTAGAGTCTTCTTATGGTTTCATATGAATTTTAGGATTCTTTCTTCTATTTCTGCGAAATCTGTAGATGGCTTTGGGTAGTATGGACATTTTAATAATATTCTTCCAATCCATGAACATGGGACATCTCTCCATTTATTTGTGTCGTCTTCAGTTTCTCTCATCATTGTCTTATAGTTTTCAGGGTACAGATCTTTTACCTCCTTGGTTAAATTTATTCCTGAGTTTTTTGTTTTTTCTTTGCTTGTTTGTTAATGTGGTCAGCTCTTTGCTGCAAATCCAGAGATACCTTCGGGAGACTTATGAAATGTGCAGATCCTTTGTCCCTACACCAGAGGCTCCAATCTAGTGCGCGTTTTGTGACCTCATATCTACTTTCATGGCTTTTCGGTCTTTGTCTTCACTTACCCTACTAGTTGCTCTCAGTCCTCCTGTTCCTTGTGAGCCTTTCACAAAGATACTCACACTTACCCCAAACAGGAGTTCACCAGAGGTCTCGAGAGGCTGTCTGCCTGGGCCTCAGTATATGGACTTGAAATGGCCATTTCTGATGGCTTAGAGTCACCTTTTGTCACTCTGTGGGCTATGGCTGTTGTGTGTTTCATGCCCTACAACCCACAGGGACATCCATTTACCAAGGGCACTTTGGGCAGAGTCCCTAGAGTGGCCGAGTGGCCCTTGCCGGCCAGGGAAGACCTCCCACTCTGCTAGGCCTCAGGGCTGCCCTTTAGCACACACCACCTCTGTCCAGGGCATTTCCAAACCTGTGTGTCTGAGCCCCAAGGGCCAGTCTAGGCCACACTGGCTTTAAACTCCACTGTCCTGGAAGACATAAGGGTGTGCTCCCTAAAGGTGAGACAAGCACCCTGGCCCGCTCTTGCCCTGAGCGTGGCGGGAAAGCCACAGCTGCCCTGCCATGTTGGCCCTCCTCCTCTTTCCCCCCACCCCTGCTTTCTTCCCAGCCTCCTGCCCTTCCCTTCCCCACCTCTTCTTCACCGAATAAACCATTCTTCCTGTCACCTGCCTTGGCCCCAGCAGCCTGATCCCTGCATAGGCCAGGTTAGGTGAGGGGATCCTAGAAAGAAGGGAGACTGAGAGTTCATACCCCTCTGGTTCATCTCTGTAGCCCCTGTGGTCACTGTAAGAGTGAATGCTGGTTACCTTGAGGTCACCCAGAATCAACCATGTACAGGGGCTAAGAAGAGATCCCCCCCACCTTGTCTGAGGATGACCCAAGGATGCTAAGCTTCGGGGTCTCCCTTGGCTAGCCAAGCAGAGCCCAGAGCCCCCCACGGTGCAGGCAGCAATGGGGGAAAGGACCGGTTTTGACTGGCTGTGTGGTTGCAAGGCACATGTCAGCTCTGGCCTCCGTGAAGTTACTGGCATCTCCAGGCCTCAGCTTCCTCATCTTTAAAATGGGGTAATACTTACCTTACAGGGCTATTTCAAGGACCAGGTAAAGGAATAAGTCTAGTACCTGTTGCCTGTCATCTGAGGGACTCCCAGCTGATCTTGGAGGAGAGCCACTGGGGGGAGGTGGCCCTGTAGCCTCACTGTGGCTGAGGAGACAAGGGCTCCAGCGAAGGCTGACCCACTTAAAGAGAATCTAATTCTGTGAGACTAAAATGAAATGCTGTGTAACGTGGGGCTCCCGCACAGTGCCTGGCATGTAGAGTGTTCAGTGAATGTTAAATGTGGGCTTTTCCTCACTGTCCTGCTTCGTCAAGGTAACACCTCATTGCATGAACCCAGCCCTGTGGAACGGCTGCCTAAGGTAGCCAGGGATCACCTCCGTGTGGGCAAATGAACCTGAGTGAGGCAGCCAGAAATGTCCTCTGTTGTCGGTCACATTCCAAGGAGGCATTCCCTGCTAGCTGACTGTGGCATCGAGGCGCTGGTGTGGGAAGGGCTGGGTGATTGTACGGGTTGGTTTACAGAGAGCTGAGCAGCTCAGAAAGCTATGTTGAAGGCTGGAGAGACATTCTAGTTGGTGCCTCTGAATTTCAGCAGGCCTCTCCCCTGTCCTGTGGGGGCTGGAAAGCCTTCCCGTTCCTCAGGTGTGTCCGACAGCTTTCGGAATGATACTCGTATCATCACAGGCCTCCTGTACTGCCCCTTCCATGCAGGGCACTGTGCTAGATGCTTCAGACATACTCTCATCCTTACTACAGTCCTGCGGTGGGGCACATAATCCAGATGAGGAAGCTGGGGCTCAGACTCATCCCGGGCCACTTAGGGAGCAGGTGGCAGAGCTGAGATTGCAGCCCACACTGGTCATCTGGCCAGAACCCACATGCACTGTGCTTTTCTTAATGGCTACGGCGTGTGTAATTCATGTTTCCAGACAAGTGATGGGCGAGCAGGGTTTGCAGTGAACATGGACCTTGAGGCTGATTGGCAGCTGAGGCCCACAAACCATTTATTAAAGGCACAGAATCCTCAGTCATTGCCGACTTTAGTTGCAGAGGCAGGGTTGTAGGGGGGTGTGCGCCCGTGTGTGCGCATGCTCGCACAGGTGTGCATGCGCTTCCTCACATACAAGGGCCAGTAATTCACAGGGTAATTCGGACTGTCACAGCAACCCTCTCTGTGACAGAGCCTGTGTCCCGTTGGCTAAGGTCTCACACCCAGAAGCCCGGAGAGAGGAATTAAAATGCTAATTTTCAGGGACCGCTGAGTCATTCAGATCTCATGAAAACACCAGCATCCTTCTCATGCGAAACTGGCACCTCAGTTACCACCTAATTACCTGATTATTGTTCAGGGACAGGCAGCTTCAGTCAGCAAGGGACGGCGGAATTAGAGCCTAGGGGTGCAGGGCCCTCCAAGTCTGACTCTGGGAGAGACGGTGGGAAGGACCATCCAGGAGAAGGAAGGGCGTAGGCGGGGGGTGGAAACTCAGTGTCCTGGGCAGCTCCTCTGGCTCCCACGGTGGTGACCTCTCCTTCCTTTCCTCCCTCCTCAGGTGCTGGAGACATGTGTGAAGAACTGTGGCCACCGCTTTCACATCCTCGTGGCCAACCGAGATTTCATCGACAGCGTCCTGGTCAAAATCATCTCTCCCAAGAACAACCCTCCCACCATTGTCCAGGACAAGGTGCTAGCTCTGATCCAGGTAGGGGCCCCTCCCCCTGTCCGACTTGTTGGCGCAGAGTAAGACGGGGCCTTTACCCGTGGGTCCTCATGCTTTCCCATCGTTTGGTGGAAAGAATGGAGGCCCTCTGGGCTTAAACATGTGTTGCAAAAAGCACCAGATTTTTGCACCACTCCCACTGGAATAAGAATCTGAGTGGTAGCTTGCAATTGACAGGGTCTTCACCGGTTTTCTGGGTGCCTGGATCTCTGTTGCCCCCAAGGGCAGGTGTGAGAGCTTGACAGGCCTCTGAGGCTTCAGGGACAGCGTGGCGTAGGAAGGGCCGTGCTGGCCCACACGCAGGCCGCCGAGGCGCAGGGTCGGAGCCACATCAGGGGAGAGGGTGTTAAGGAGTGATTCACTGAGGAGGTGGCATTTTGTCGGACCCTGAAGGCTGTGAGGAACCTGGTGGAAAGATCAGGGTGTGAGAAGTAGCACGGGCAGAGAAGAGCACGTGCATCAGAGAACGCAGTTGACACGTTTGGGATGTACTCTTTACTGATTGCTCTGTAGTACTCCTTACTGATTGCTCTGTAACAAAGCACCCCAAAACCTCGGGGCTGCAGACGACAAATGTCTATTCCCTCGTTGTTCCTGTGGGTCAAGAAATCAGGAGCGGCCTAGATGAGCGATCCTGGCTCAGGAGCTCTCATGAGGTTGCGGTCCAGACAGTAGCCAAAATTGCCTCATCTGCAGGCTCAGTGAGCTGGGGAGCCATGTCCAAGGTGACTCACCACATAGCTGTTGGCAGGAGACCTCAGTGCCTTGCTGACAGCTGGTGGGACGCCCGAGTTGTCTTGCTGTGTGGACTCCTCTGTGTCCTCATAACATGGCAGCAGGTTTTCCCTAGAGCAAGGGATCCAAGCTGCAATGCCTCTTGGGACTGAGTCTCAGAAGTCACACACCATCTTTTCTGTTATGTTCTATTTGTTAGAAGGGAGTCACCAGATTTGGCGTCAAGAGTATGAGAATGAAGCTGTACCTCTTAAAAGAGACAGTGTTTTAAAACCATCATGGGGGGGCGCCTGGGTGGCTTAGTCGGTTAAGCGTCCGACTTTCGCTTAGGTCATGATCTCGCGGTTCGTGTGTTCGAGCCCCGCGTCGGGCTCTGTGCTGACTGCCAGCTCAGAGCCTGGAGCCTGTTTCAGTCTGTGACTCCCTCTCTCTCTGACCCTCCCCTGCTCACGCTGTCTCTCTCTCTCTCTCTCCTAGAAATAAATAAAACATTTAAAAAAAAAAAAAAAACCATCATGGGGAGCAGAGAGTGTAAGAGAATAAGCGGGGCCAGGAGATGAGGCCAGAAGGCCGGTTGGGGTCTGGTGGGCCATACATGCTGACAGCTCGTGCTGTGTCCCGTAGGCAGTGGGAGACCATGGCACACTCCTGAGCTGGGTGCACAGACGATCTGGACTTCAGACACAGCACCCTGGACGCACAGGCCAACGAGCACATCACGAGTTGGGTGATCAGTGCTGTGGCAGAGGAAAGATGGGGCCCTGCAGGAGCCAAGAGGAGAGGGGGATGGGAGCGGGGCCAGGCAGGTGGCACTGTGACCAGGCTTGGGCATAGGGGCATTCCTGGTGGGAGGCACCTGAGGCTGGGGAGGAAAGTGGGGCCCCAGCCTCGGGGTCTGCTGGCTCCGTGTGTTCCCTCCCGCGTCCTCTGCCTGAAAGCCCTCTGCGTCATTGAGACGGCCCCCAGAGCCCACCCCCCCACTAGGTTGACAGCATTCGTTCTCTCATGTCTCCCTCTTTTGTGGTCTTGCCTCTGTGCTACCTTTTCTGTCTGCGTCACTCTGAGTTTCCTGCGAGCCCAGGGACGTTACATCCCCAGGGTCTAGTGCCGTTGACTGGGTAGAGTGGGCGTCTGATAAGTTGTTTTTTTTAATGAATGGGTGACTGCAGTTTGCTGAAGCTCTAAGGAAGGGGAGGAGTGTGGGTGACGGCAGGGCCCCCTCCCATGTTTCCTCTTCATTCTGCCCAGCCAGCATATCTCCATGTCTCTCCCTCCCTCCTCCCCCCCACTCTCCCCTCTCTCTCCCTTCCCTTCTCTCCATCCCCTTCTCTCTCCTTCTCTCTCTTTCTCACACGCACACCCAGGTGGAAACCACCTTACCCTCTCTCCTCCCCACCCCCACCTCTGCCCTTGACTCCCTCATTCTGGGACTTGCCGGGTACACTCCCCTGCCTCAAGACCCCAGTATTTGATGTCAAAACAGTAAATAGTGGCTTTTTCCCACAAAAGGGGGGCACCCTGCCTGGACCCCCCCATATAGGCCCCTTCTGTAGTCAGACCTGGGAGGAGCCCTTCCTGTGACCCGGCACTGGGGGTGGTTGGCACCGCAGCAGGCAAGGCTTGTGACTGTGCCGCTGTGGCAGTGCGGGGACCCCTGGCGGAGGACACACGGAATCTTGTGCACTGACTGTGGCTGTGGTGGTCCCCGGGGGCCAGCCTGGCCTTCTCATTTGGGTCTCACCACCTCCTCTCAGCACTGCTTCTCCCAGCCGTGCAAGTGTTTTAACTTCTCTGGGCCTCTGCCTCCTTGTCTGTACTACCGGGGCCTTGCGGTCCTGCGTACCTGCTCCTGGTCCAAGAGGAGATGGCTGGAGGTGGCACGGCGGCCGGCACCGTGTTCCGAGGGCTCCCTCTGCTGGCCAGGCAGCAGCACGTGCACCACCTGCAGGGGCAGGAGCCGCATGGGGCCCGAGGGCCTCGCCCGCCCCTGTCCCTCCTGTCTGGCCAGGCTGCACTGGACGGTCTCCCTGGTCCAGCTGGGAAAACGCAGAGGCCTTTGGATGAGGGTGCTCCCTGGTGGGCTTGCTTGCCTTCCTGGGGGTGGGGGCATCCTTCCTCTCCAGGTTTTGGAGCTTCACGAAGAACTTGTTTCTTTGGTCGTGGCCAACCAACAGGAAAAAGCAGATAGCATTCAGAGTTGGCAGATGGCTTGGCTTCTGTGATGCGGCGAATGAAAGTATAAACAGGATCTTCAGCCTTTTTTAAAATTGAATTATACGTACAGGAAATCACACGTTAAAAAAGCATGTACAACTTGACGAGTTTTTACAAACTGAACACACCCGTATAACCAGCCCCTGTGTCGTGAAGCAGAATATGGCCTGCCCCCACAGAGCCCCCACCACCTGGGGTGACCACCCCACAGCCTGCATGGATTTTTCCTGGACTTTTTTTTTTTAATGTTTTTTTATTTTTGAGAGAGAGAGAGCACAAGCAGGGGAGGGGCAGAGAGAGAGAGAGAGGGAGACACACAATCTGAAGCAGGCTCTTCTGAGCTGTCAGCACAAAGCCCAAGGCAGGGCTCAAACCCACTAATTGTGAGATCATGACTTGAGCCAAAGTCAGAGGCTTAACCGACGGAGCCACCCAGGTGCCCCAGGCTTTTCCCCGTACTTGAACTTCATCCGCGTGGACTCTGCAGCAGCCCTCACTTGGGTCTGTGCATCTGGGGCTTTGTTTGCGGGCCTCACCTTGTCATTGGTGTGACCAGATAGGCCTCCCGTTCCCATGGCTCGCATTGCCGCACCGGGTCCCTTTGGGGAGATGGCCGCCGTTTGTGCCTCCTTTCCACCGACAGTGGGGCCTTGGTGTTTCCAGTTTGCAGCCATTGGGAAACCGGCGCAGCGAACGGCCTGCACGTGTCCTTGGGTGAGCGTACGTCACGTGTCTTTGGGGAGCGTACGTCATGTGTCCTTGGGTGAGCGTACGTGGTTGCTGTTAGATGTATGCTAAGGCGGGTGTGAAACTGCCATCCTTGTGGGCCAAGCACAGCTCAGTATTAGCATGTCACTCGGCTCCGCCTGATCCCTGGGAGTAAAACTGCTGGCCCGGGAGTGGCCGTGCCCTGGCTGAGTGGTGACACCAGCACATCCCTGCCGTCCACGTGTGAGAGCTTCCAGCGCGCCACATTTTCACCCATGTGTCCTCGTTCTGGCCCGTCTGCCACGCTGTGTGGAGGCATTGCATCTTGGCAACTTATTCTCAACTCCTTTTTTTTATTACTAAAAGAATTTTTTTTAGTGTTTCCTTTTGAGAGAGAGAGACAGAGTGTGAGCAGGGGAGGGACAGAGAGAGAGGGAGACAGAGAATCCGAAGCAGGCTCCAGGCTCTGAGCTGTCAGCACAGAGCCCGATGTGTAGGGCTTGAACCCATGAACCGTGAGATCATGACCTGAGTGGAAGTCCGACATTTAACTGAGCCACCCAGGCGCCCCTCAACTCCCTTGAGAAAGAAGATGATTTTATTTACCTGTTGAATATACATTTAAAAACTGTACCGGCCCCTTCCCTACCCCTGAGAGTCTGATCTCCCCCAGCGAGCACGCGCTATTTCCGCCATGACACGGAACAGGGCCGGGGGCGACAGATCCCGGGCCCTCGTGCCAGCCCGTGAGTGGCAGCAGGCCACCATGGAAACGCAGCTAGGCAGGAAGGAGGTTCAGTTAAGTGTGCGAGTGCCAGAGCCACAACAGGTCCTTCCTCACCATCCTTGCCATCTGGACGTTTCCTGAAACGGTGCTCTCCGCACTCCAGCTGCCAGGAAGCAGCACTGGCCCAGTCCCAGTGCTGCCCTTGGGGAGCTATCGATTTTATGGAGAGACAGAAGCTTGCAGATGGTAGAGGGCCAGGGCCTCCCCAGGGAGCACTCGAGCTGGCTTGGGAATATTCGAGGGACAGCCCCAAACTCTGAACGTATTGACACTTGAGAAGCTTTTAAGGCCAAAGGGTTATACAGACAAGCGCCCCCTCCCCGTCCCCCCACCCCCCACCCCACCCTCCCAGCCAGGCCCAAGTTGGTTGGAGCTCCTGACAGTGATGAGACCCTTGGCTCTGGTAACCAGGCATGGCCTGAGCCCATCGTCCCTTTGATTGCCCCTGCCTCTGCTGGGAGCAGGGAGGGGGTCGAGCTCCAAACCAGCTTTTCTTTTTTTTTTCCTTATTTAATTTTCTTATTTATTTATTTAAAAAAATTTTTTGAAGTTTATCCATTTCTGAGAGAGAAAGAGAGAAACAGTGTGTGAGTAGGGGAGGGACATAGAAAGAAAGGGAAACACAGAATCCAAAGCAGACTCTAGGCTCTGAGCTGTCAGCATAGAGCCTGACGTGGGGCTCAAACTCACAAACTGCGAGGTCATGACCTGAGTCAAAGTTGGATGCTTAACCTACTGAGCCACCAGCTGCCCCCTCTTTTTTTATTTAAAAGTTTATTTTTATTTTTTTTGAGATAGCGATAGAGAGCAAGTGGGGGAGGGGCAGAGAGGGAGGGAGACAGAATCCGAAGCAGCCTCTGCCCTCTCAGCACAGAGCCTGATGCTGGGCTCGAACTCACAAACTGATACCATGACCTGAGCCAAAATCAAGAGTTGGACGCTTAACCGCTGAGCCACCCAGGTGCCCCGAGCCTTTCTGTTTCTTCATGTGAAGTCCCATTTGTTGAGAAGACAGGGATACTTGTGCTCTGTGCCATCCCTCAGCCTCTCCGTCCCTTCCCAGCAGGGTAGCCTCCTGGTGGCCACGCCTGTCCTGCCTCCTTCCCCCCAAACTCTTGCCCTGCCCCCCCCCCCCCCCCCGCCAACTCCCAGCAATAGAGTCTAAAAATACCCTCTTTCCACTGAAGAAAGTGAGCTGATTGGGGTGGGGGCAGGGCGCCAGAGCTGCTGGAGGTGTTGTGTTCTTGGAAGGTGTCAGAGACCTGGTGGCCAGGCCTCTGGCCAGATTCCGTGTGGACGGGGAGCTGTCTGGAGACCCTGTCCCCGGGACTAGGAAGTCTCATCCAGGGCCAGAAGCAGAAGAGAACCCATCGTTTAAATCAGCCATCGTTCCTGATCTGAAAGCTGATGATTTAAAACTTAAGGGATTTAGAAACAAGTAGGATATCGCTCATGTTGCTGTGAGGCCTCAGTCTGGGGCTTGGTATACAATCCTAAGGAGCGAAGGAGAGAAAAGCTCACGTGAAATCCTCTCTTTTCTCTCCTCACTAGCCCTTCCTCTGGGTCTTCCGGCCCCTCACACGGTAGGCATAGGCCCGAAAAGGGAGGAGTACGTACAGAGCGGTGAGGTGGTCACTGTTGTCAGCCAGCCAGCGCCTGTGACAGGGACCCCTCCGAGAGGGCCAGCACTGCCGTGTCACTTTGCTTTCCTACAGGGCAGCCTGCCAGCACCACCCCTGTGACTCCTTGGCTCCGGGTTGGGGACCCAGAGTGGACCAGACCTGCTGAGGTTTTCCACCTCTCCCCTAGAGCAGATTCTGCAATCTCAGCTGGGTCAGTCGTGCAGAGGGGCTCCTGCGTTGTCACTGCGCCCTCAGAATGTGGACAGGCTAACTGGCCATCTTCCTGTATTCTCTGACGGAGCTTAGTAACTGAGGATGGAACTCAGTCTAACTTGACAAATGATGACTGACTGCCTTCTCCGTGCAAGGGCGAGACTCCATGAGTGCCTTCCAACGTGTGGCCCATGGGGAGGAGGACAGGAGCGCAGGTGTTGGGGAGTGTCCGAGGACGGTGCGAGAGGCCACAGCGTCCCTGGATTTCTCCCGGTTCTGTGTTTCCACTTAGGACTCTTCCTTCAAAGGTGCCCCGCCCTGTTCCCTTTTGGCATCAGAATCTTGTTCAGCAGAGAAAGCTGCCAGGAACATATGCTCTGTTAGCAGCCGCCTCCCCCGAACCGCACAGGGGTCCCATACAGGGGTTGAGACGGTGGCAGGTGGGATGCGGGCAGCTTAGCCAAGACTGCTTGCTTGCAGGTAACAAGTCCTCACTCCAGAGAGGAGAGCTTGTCAGGCAGGACAAGGCAGGCTTTCCCAGACCCTGGCTGTGACTTGACCTGGGGAAGGACCGAAGGGATCAGGAAAGCCCACCAAATCCCCTCCCATCCGCACCTCAGCACACCAGCCTCACCTTCCCACATAGAGGCTGGCTCCTGCTCCCCGGTGCCCGGTGGGCACATGGCTGCCCGCATCTAGAGAGGACAGTGTCCCCAACCCAAGGAGAGCAGCCCAGGGCCACGCTCCCGGGTGGAGGGGAGGCTGCCTGGCCCAGCGGGGATGTGTGTTTCCCTCCTGGTGCCGCGGAAGTAGTGCTGGAGGAAGGGGGGCCGCTGAGTCGCTGCTTGGGCAGGTGCCCCGGGAACTGTCCACTGCCTGGAGAGCACAGTGATGCTTCTTTAACTTCATTCTTCCCATCTCGGATTTGGCCGAGGTGGAGAGCAAGATAAAGGAAAAGTGGTCCCCAGAAACTGTCAGTCTGTCCATAGAAACAGAGATGGGAAGGACCGTCATGCTTTTTTTGTCCTTGGCCTCATGCTGCAGGCAGTAAACCTGATCTTGGACCCTAAACCAACACGCTAGCTGCATTTTGAAGCTAGAGTCACAGGACTCTGCTGGATTCTGAAGCAGGTGGCAGCGGCGAAAGCAGCGGGTGGAGAACGGGACTCCGGGGCACTCCCTGGGGGGGCCTCGACGGGGCTGCTCTCCAGCTGGTGCTCCCATAGGCCTCTGCAGGCACCAGGGCCCCACTCAGATCCAGGAGGAAGTGTTGGCCAAGAGGGGCTGTCCTCAAGCGGACATTAAACCCCTGAGTGCGCACGTTCACTAAGTGGACCGAGGAAGCCAGGCCGACCGTAATGTTTGTGGTGAGATGTATCAGTCGTCATGAGCAAGGCTTTTTGGAAACTGACCTTTTCACTGCTAGTGGGTCTGGTGGTGAGAGATAGGGTTTCTGTGGCCGCCTCAGGATTGGTTGGCACACACTGCTAGAGCCGGGGAGGCAGTGAAATGCTTGTGACAACAGCAGAATTGGCAACAGAACCGTAGGCGGGAGACGTGGTGCCACCTCCTCTGGGTACGTATAAGGTGACAAAACTGTTCTGAGAAGCTGGGCTTCATTTTGGGGGAGCCCTTGGAGTGGCTTCTCTTTTTTTTTTTTTAGCGTTTAATTTTGAGAGAGACAGAGCATGAGCAGGGGAGGGGTAGAGAGAGGAAGATGCAGAATCCAAAGCAGGCTCCAGGCTCTGAGCTGTCAGCACAGAGCCCGACGTAGGGTTCGAACCCACGAACCGCGAGATCATGACCTGAGCAAAGTCAGATGCTTAACCAACTGAGCCACCCAGGCCCCCCTCCCCTTTTTTTTGATAGATTCTGTAAATTCCAAAGAACCAAATATTTAAACAAGTTCTTTGGAGTTTCATGAATCAATGATCAGTATCTATTGGAACATCCATTCTTGCCTCTCTGTGTTATGTTTTCAGTGAAGGGGCTCTCGTGGCCATGCTTCCCCATGGCTTTTCTGATGTGGGCACGTGGGCATGGCCGTGGTGGGCAACTCGGGCTCTCCCACCCCTGAGCCTCTGTCACCCTGCCTTTCTGGCTGGGCGAGGTGGGCTCTGCTTTTGTGCTCTCTGATCCACTGAGGAAGCCGCATTAGCCTTTATTTCCCTTTCCTTTCTGCTCCATTTGCCCATGGTTCCTGCCTCCGCCCACGGGAGCTCTGCCGAGCAGAGGCGCGGCACTCAGTCCCGATGGCATCCTGCAGGCACAGCAGAGAGGCCACCTCCACATGCCCTGCAGCCGAGCATCGCCAGGAGTTGATTTCCCGGTGATTAGGGAAATGCTTGCATCTTAGGATGCGCCACAGCACTTAGGTGTTATTTCCCCGTACCTCCTCCAAGGAGATACTACACACTGAATTAAGTTTTTGTGTTTTTGTTCATGCTCAACAGCACCATAGAAAACCCAGGTTGCGCCAGCCACATCGCGGCAGCGCTGGCGGGGGCCCGGGGGCAGAGTGGGTTTGGCCAGCGCCATTTGCAGTTGCGGGTCGGAGAACACTGGGCCCCGTGAGTGGATCTGGACTGCCCTTGGTGAGAAATCGTTCCTGACAGGCCCTCTTTTCTCCTTCCAGGCGTGGGCTGATGCCTTTCGAAGCAGTCCTGACCTCACTGGCGTTGTGCATATATACGAGGAGCTGAAGAGGAAAGGGGTCGAGTTTCCCATGGCAGACTTGGACGCTCTGTCTCCCATACACACACCACAGCGGGTAAGCTTCCAGCTGGCATTTTTCTAGATAGACCTATTGCAGAACGGGCAAGCCACTGCCACCAACCTTGTGTTGCTCCATTTGAATTATTCAGCTTGTCATCAAGCGTTCTTAAAGCTCGAGGGCATTTCTTTTTAATAACAAGGGGAATGCAGGGGTGAGACGGCTGGCTGACTGGTGATTACGTGTCAGCAGTGCCCCCCCCCCTTTTTTTTTTTTTTTGTGCAAGGAGGATAGAACGGGGATCGCCTCCCAGATTTTCCTGGAAATGGCTACTTGGGTGGAGCCATCCTGTGAGGGCCGCTAGCACCTGCTTTTCCGAGGGCCGTGGAATCTGGCGTGGGGATGCTAGCATCTCCCTTTGGGAGCGCCAGAGCACCTCCGCGCTTACTGCAGAGCAGACGATCTAGTGACATCCCTGATCGTGGGGCAGAGGGCAGCTTTCGGTTTTTTTAGACCATGCAGGCCGAATAGATCTAAATTTTATTTTGAACTTCAGGCGTTCAGCATCATTTCAGACATCCTTGAATTCCACTAGCCTTGGAATTTAGAGCCCAGGGAAGGCCCATTTAGGGGCCCTCTCAATGAAGACAAGGGGCAGCTCTGTGCTTCAGAATGATGGAAAGCACACAGGTGGCAGATGCCGTTTGTCCTGGGAAGCTAGTACCTCTGCTGGCTAGGAATCAGGCCCTGGCTCCAGGGGGAGCCAGGAAGCTCCAGGACCCAGGACAGGCCCCTTGGGCCAGCACACTCTGCCTCGCCGGCCCCATCTGCCCATCTCCGATGGGGACGAGAAGAGTGCCTTGTGGGTGCACGAGCACAGTTAACGTTCTAGGCTTTCTGAGATGCTCACAAGGGAGAGCATACGGAATTCTACTTTGCAAAGTGTTGTTCTCATTACGGTCCCTCCAAACCTTTTACCATGCTTTGTGGAATAAACGTAACCTGTTTTACTCTTCTAATAATGACATAGAACAGTGTTGTTTTGTGCCTATAATTACAAAGAACATTTGGTAAATTGCATAATTGCTATTTATATTAGTGTACTCGTAAAGGCCAAAATGTAATCTTCCGGTACCAGATGAGGGTTCATGATTAGCAAAACCTCCTAACAGTCCCCCTCTGCTCAGACACTGAGGGGGTCCTAATCATGGGAACCAGAGCTCTCACGGAGCGCCCTCAGTGCTGCCTCTCTGAGCTGCTTGGGTTGTCTGGGAAGTGAGTAGAGGGAGGAGCGCTTGGCACCCCCTCTTAGTGGATGGAGAGATGGGGGGCAGGGTTTCTGCGAGCCTCGCAGGTGAGTTCTAGAGCCAGGCGCCACCTCCCTGCAGGTGGCTGTGGCCGGGCAGGGGCTGCCGGGTCGGGTAGGCACCGGGCTCGGTTGCGCGGGCAGCCCAGGTGAACAGAGGACTTTGTTGTTGTCATGCCAGAGCGTCCCCGAAGTGGATCCGGCCGCGACCATGCCCCGGCCCCAGTTGCAGCAGAGGACAAGTACTGGCTCCTATTCCTCGCCTCCTCCTGCTCCCTACTCCGCTCCGCAGGCCCCGGCTCTGAGTGTGACTGGCTCCATCACGGCCAATTCAGAACAGGTACTCGCATACTTCCAGGCCACAGGCAAGTCGGCCAGCCAGCTGTCCTCGCTCACCGTTCCGGGGACCTCTGGAGGCCTTCCCTGATCAGGCACCATGCTAGTGTCAGCGACCCACAGACAGAAGGGAGGGCACGCTGCGCAGTGGGGAGGCAGGTGCAGAGACGGCGTGGACGGTGTGCTGGAGCGGTTGTGGGGACAGGAGCCGCGTGTTCAGCACTCCCTGGAGGGCCTCCCCGGTTGCCGACGCTGCCGAGGCTCTCGAAGGCAGAGCGGGGCTTGTCTGACAGGGCGTGGGCCAGAGGCACGGAGGAGCGGGGCACTCGAGGGAGCAGCAGTTGGGGGTTGGGGACCAGTGCAGGCACAGGATCGGACAGACAGAGGGTGAGGCCAGCAGATAGCAACGGAGTCGGGTTGGAACAGCCCGTGAGTCACGTGGAGAGGTTTGGATTGCTCCTGTAAGAGGCGTCAGCCATCAGAGGCCAGTGACCCGCTCGGCAAGGTGCCGCTCGGCGGCGGCCAGATGAGGAAGGCCCTTAGGACGCACTCTTCCTGCCTTTATTCCCAACACTGCCCACCTTCCCTGCGGTATTTCCGGAGAGGCCAATGCCACTGAAATCCCAAACCGGACTTTTTTAGACGAGTTGTGGAGACTAGTGTTTAGATGAATCTGTAGAATTTCCATTAATTAAAATTTGAGAGCTGACCAGACTTGAGAACAGAAAATCTGTTCCAGTGTTTATATTTTTTAAATCCTCATTTATTATTTGTGACAACATCATTATTTACGGAAGCCCATTGAGTCAGAGGGGTCAGGCGATGAGGTGTGGGTGACCGAAGTGCTGTGCCAGGGCCGCTCACGTTTCCGTTCTCTGGCGGCCCCGAGGAGGTGAGCAAGAGGTGAGCGGGAGGTCAGGCGGGCCTGCACTTGAGTCCTCACTCTGCTCCTCGCTGTGAGGCCCCGGCTGGGTCACTTTACCCTCTGTTAGTAGAATGGGGCGGTAGTTCTTCCCTCTTGCCCCCCCCACCCCCCCCGGAGCAGTCAGGAGCAGGTGGGGCAGCTGGATGGGGAGGCCTCATGATAGCCCCCCAAGTGCTGTGTGCTGGAAGACGGGCGGCACGACACTGCACTGCCCGCTCTCACCACTCACGATGGCCAGGCCTTGCCCCCAGCAGGGGGGCCCTGGGGAAGAAGGTCTCCAGCTGCAGCCTCCGCTCCCACAGGCAGAACCGTGTCCTGTTCTGCTCAGAGGGAAGTCTGACGTGTTTGGAGTCGGAGGGTCGCTGAGACCCTCCGTGGACTCTTTGTCCATTGCGTGGGAGCTTGGGAAGAGCCTGCCCAGCAGCCAGAACAGTCTGGAGGAGGCTCTGGAAATGGTGAGAAGGGGGAAAATGGAAGAAGAGTGGCCTGGCGTTGAGGACCCTTCTGATCCCATGTGGTGTCTGATGGGTTCCTAAGTTCCAGGCTCAGAAACATCATCTGGGTAAGGGGCGGGGGGATACCCACTAGGCAGAACCAGAGGGGAGAAGAGCCTTTAGGGACCTCGCCCAGTGCCCTTATTGACCATTTGTCCATCTTTCCATCCAATACACGTGGATTGGAGTTCCCTTTCGCAGTCCCTGTGCTGAGAGGGCAGACCCCCTGCCCCAGGAGGTCAGCCAGGACAGGGAGGGTCTGCGGGAGGAGGTGGGCTGCTTTTTTCTGCCTCAGGGAGGGGCAGGGGAGAGTCAGAAGGGGCTTCAGTGAGGAGGGAAGGTATTTGAGTTAGGTCACAGTTCAAGCAAGAGCCTAGCAAATCCAGCTCTCCGGAGATTTTAGCAGGAGAGGGATCTGAGCGGTACCGGGTGCATGTAGGCCAGCACCCCATGGGTTTTCACTCAGTTACTCACAGCAGCCCTGTGAGGCATGGCCGTCATTTTTACCTTTCCGTAGCTGAGGAAACGAGGCTCAGAGAGATTAAGGCCCATCCCTTACAGTGTCCCTATTGCAGGAAAGGTGGCCCAGGCCCAAGCCTTGGGGAGCTCTGTTGGATAGGTAGGTCGGGTAGTTTTCAAGGGGACCTTGGTAAGGAGCTGGCTCGGGAGGGGGGTCTCCCCTGGAGTCTGCTCGTGGTCCCTCTCCCTCATTCTTGCCACACTGGGCAAGTGCAGCTAACGCCAGCCAGCCTCTGCGAGAGCTGTAGTACTTAGATTGTGAGCTCCTAGGGCCAGAGTCTATAAGGAGGGAGGGTCCTGGTAAGGACCCCAGCCCTGAAGGGCCCTTGGGGATCACGCGCTCCAGCACTTTCACTTCAATTATAGGGACAGAGGCCTGGAGAGATCAATTCCCCGGTCAGGGTTTTGCTGTGGGAGAGCCGAGCCATGAGCCAGCTCAGTCCATGCTGGACCCAGTGCTCCTTCCCTGCACAGCACTGCCTCAGCGTGACAGCAGAGTCACCCGTGACAGACTCCTGGTAACCAAGGGCCCTGTGGGGGGGCCTTGCCCCACCCCCAATCGCTTCTCCCCTAGAGCTGCCATCACCCTCACACCCAGACCAGAGTGAGATAAGATGCCTTCTTCTGCCGAGCACATGCAGAGGTGTGACCTAGATGTCATAGCGCATGGGACTGTCACCAGACAGGTGCAGGTTGACTGACCTCTCCTTCCTGCTTTGCTCCCCACTCCCACCTCCCCGGCCCAGCAGATCGCCAGGCTTCGGAGTGAGCTGGACGTTGTTCGAGGAAACACAAAGGTCATGTCCGAGATGTTAACCGAGATGGTCCCCGGGCAGGAGGATTCGTCTGATCTGGAGCTGCTACAGGTGAGGGGGCCTCCTCTCGGGGAAGGTCTGGACTGGGAGAGATGGCAGTGAGGCAGGAGCGGGGCCCAGGGGGACAGTCAGGGGCAGGGACCGCGTCGGTGTAGGCTAACATTCAGCCTCATGCTTCCTGGCAGTGATCAGACGCCAGTACCAGGCTCTCTCTTTTATTTGCCTTCGTAACAGTTTTTCCCTGATAATAAATTGCCAATCACAGAGCCACATGCCCCTCAAGAGACAAAGGGACTATAAGGGAGAAGATACTTGTTTTCTTCGATGCCAACATCCACGGGTAACCCCGGGGTGTGTCGAAGCATGGTCTTTCAGACTTTTTTCCTTGTTTGTTTTCCTTTCAGATGTAGTTGAGATCCTATCATGTGCCCAGTTTTGTGTATTGCTTTGCTCCCTCAACATTATGTCCCAAACATTGGTGACAGGACCTGGTCACCCTTTCCTGCATGAGGGAGCCCTTCTAGCCACACTGTATCCCCCGAGACGGTCCCAAGACTGAAATACAATAGAAGCACCTTTCCTTTTCCTGAATACTGAGGATTCCAGGCTGGGCTTGCCCACACTATGGTTCCTGGGGCCCGTTGCTCACCAAGTGGGTCTGGGGGCGTGAAGAGAGGGGTCCGGGAGCAGGGATGGCCTGCAGGGCCACCCTCAGATGAGAATGTGAGCCGGCCCGACCCAGAGCTGACGACCACATCTCCACCACGCCCGTCTCAGACGACTCCGGCACTTGTAGAAAATGGCAGTGGCTCTGCCTTCAGAAGCAGTGACCTTGTGGAGGGGCGCAGAAAGGGTGTCGTAGACTGCAGGTGCCGGGACCTTTCCAGCGGGCAGCATGACGCTTGAGTAAACAGGTCAGGAGCCAGACTGGCTTGGCAAGCTGGCGGGAGCGCCTCATGACGTGCCTGCTGCCGCTATTCTTGTCTGGCGCTCAGAGTCAGTCTTGGCCCCCCCTCCCCCGGGCGCCGTACCTCCCACCTCGCTGCTGGCACACAGTGCGCCGCCTGTGAAGGCCCGGCTCCCATGGCCCTGCCCTTCAGCAGTGCACGCAGCCACGGTGACCGTGCCTGGTCTCAGGCAACCTCTTGTCGCTCCCGCCTCCTCCTGGGACGCCATCAGCTCCTAAGGAGGTGAGCTGAGGGTGGGTGGAGGCCTGCTCTGGGCCTGCCAGGGAGCAAAGCAGAGGTGCGTGGGGTGCAGCCTCTGCCCTGGAGCAGCCCCCGGCCTGGTGCCCCTCCACAGAGCCGCAGCACCAGCGGTCGCTCCTGAAGCCGAGCCAAGTCCCCTCCGCCAGCCCGAGCGAGGAGCCCCGCGCGGCCTGCCACCTGCGGCTGGTCCAGCCATCTGTGTGCCACACACCAGGGGACCCAGTGTCCCCTGAATGCATCCTTCCCCTCCATTCCCAGCCTGCAGGGGGAGCATTGGCCTCTAGAGCAGTCCAGAAACCATCCAGAAGCCGGCCTCTTGAGGCAGCGTTGTGCTGTGTCAGCGTCCGAATTCCTGCTGACGGGGGCTTGCGGTGGACACAGAGCCAAGCTCCTGGCAGCAGGGGGTGGGCTGAATGCAGCCAGCATGCAGACAGCCCGAGCATCCTCTGTGCGTGCGTGCGTGTGTGTGTGTGTGTGTATGTGTGTGTGTGTGTGTGTTTAAACAAGCCCATCAGCCAAGACAAACAGAACCTCATCTCCTGGCATCAGCTCACAGTTTTCAAAAATAGGTTGCTTCCCATGACGTTTTCCTTCCCTCTGTTTTGTTCCAACTCCAAGCCTAGCAGCCCGCCCTGCTGTCGTACAAATCAGAGAAGGAGCGGCTCTGGGTGCCAGTGGGGGGCTGGCCTTCCAGCACGAGAGAGTCAGGAGCCGGGCAGCTGTGTGAACAGGCACAGCTCTCCTCGCCGCTGGCCTCGCTCCTGAGTCATTCTTGACACCTTCCCTCCTCTTCTTCCCGGGGCAGTCGGAGGCCAGCTGGGCAGGGGCTCCCAAAGGCCAGGGCCACCCCAGACCGCGCGACTGCCGCATGGGAAAATGCCACCGTCTGCTTGGAAAGTGATGGGATCGGAATGTGCCCCAGGGACCCCTCAGTGGAGCTGGAGGGCAGCCAGATCGCTCAGGGTAGAAGCTGTCCAGAGCTCACAGTGCTGGCCAGGGCCATGGAAACAAGCCCATTTGTCACCACCCCAAACATTCACACCAACAGAAGCTGCTCCCGACTGGCGTGTGAATTGCTGGGTAGGACGTGGAGGAGATGCAAAGAGAGGAAATTGCAGGTCTCAGTCCCGGGATGCACCGCATGGCGACCATAAGCACGGGCGGGAACGTCCCGATTGCTTCCTGTGCCTGGCAAAGTGCTTTCAGGTGCAGCCTCGAGGAGCTACCACGAGGCTCTGCAGGAGAGCCACTCCTCATGCTGTGTGGTCAGCCTAGCTGGAGAGCCTGAGGGAAACTGAGGCAGGGTGCCCAGAGGGAACACTGTGCTGTGTGGAACCCTCCACTCCCTCCACAGACGTGCTTGGATTCCATCCACAGCATGTTGCCTGGGGTGCCTGCCTCGCTTTTCTTAACGTTTTCTTGACGTGACAGGCTGTGTGCACGAGTCCCCGGAAGCACTTTTGTTTCCCAGCGCACATCCTAGTTAGACCTCAGGAAGCGCCACAGCGGGGCGGAAAGAGCCACTGGCTTTACATCCAGGCCCCACCACTGACCGGCTGGGCTATACTGGGCCAGTCGCCTGCCCCTCAGAGCCCAGAGTGATCACATTCCCCTCAGAAGGGTAGGAATCATCCATCTAGGGTGGCGCCCAGGCAGATCAGACACACATTGGAGCCCCTGTGATTGTCACCGGCACCTCCTTTGATACAGCAAGCTGAAGTCTGTCTCTGTGTCACTGATACCCTGGTCTGTTGTCTTGAATGACAGGACAAAACAAAGTCCTCCTTCACGAGGTGGGTCCTTAAATATTTGAGGACCGCTATAAGCCCTTTCACTCTAGATTAGAGGCCTGATCTCTTAAGTGGGACACATGTGGCTGTTGGCCGGCTACCTTGTAGGTGAACTGGTGGTTCTCAGCAGGAGGCAGATGCTGTAAAATCGAGAGCTTCCATCAACACAAAGCCTCTCTTATCTTTCTCATGTGGCTGGGAAGCCGTGTCCTCCCCCATCCTGTGTGTGGGCGCTTGGGTCCGGGCCTGAAATTTGAGACCGCATCTGTGTCTGCTGAAGTTCATGTCCTCAGCTACGGCCTGGGAGGCCAGTGGTGAAATCTTTAAAGATCCTGAGGCTGTCACTCAGCATCCTCTGTCTCTCCCAAAGTAGTCTCTTGAGCTTTGTCTTCAAATAATAATTTTTAATTAATCCAGAGATGCCAAAATTGGGCATTCCTACATGGCCATCCATCAGATAATAAAAGAAGCCCTCCTCCACATTGCTTCTTTAAGTAGCAGATGGTATATCCCCTCTCACTTCTTGCATCTCATTTCAACAAAAACCAGGATGTCCAGGATCATTTTCTCTAGAGAAATCTAGTTTATTCTACATGTTTAGCTTCATTATCCCCCCTTCTCTTCAACAAAGAGTTTCTTCTCCTTCCCTCCCCCCTTCCTTTGCACCTATAGAAAAGATATCTTCAGGACCTTGTTCCATACTCCTTAGAACTTGGAAGGGATTCAGAGGAAATTCGTAAAGATGACTAAAAGGTTGTTTTATGAGGTGGGGATGAGAACGTCCCTTGAAGAAAAGATAAAGGCATTGGATTAATTAGACAGAAAGAGGGTATTTTAATAGGTTCTCATCGATGGAGGGCTTTTGCACAAAGAACACTAAGCAGCTGTTCTCCCCCTCTGTGGAGAAGCTGAAATCTTCAACACGTAGGAAATTCCTTTCCCCGGCAGTTGCACGGTGGGAGGGACGACCTGGGGGCCAGGCTCCCAGCCAGAAGTCGCTCCATTCAGTTGTTTTAGAGGGGGAGGTAGGCAAAGGGAGGCCCCCTCACCTGTGCCTGCCCCAGGTCTGGCTGTGGGCAACCCCATGGCGGTTGTGCAGACGGCCGGCTGGTGCTTGCTGGCAGAACGTTCTGGTTCTTCTCTCCCCTTTGATCTCTATCTTTTTTCTCACTGTTTGTTTATTTATTTATTTAAAGATGATGGGGGCGCCTGGGTGGCCCGGTCTATTAGGGTCCTACTTGGGCCCAGGTCATGATCTGATCTCACGGTTTCTGAGTTTGAGCCCCACGTTGGCCTCTCTGCTGTCAGCACGGAGCCCTCTTGCGATCCTCCCTGTCTCCCTCTCTCTGTGCCCCTGCTGTGTTCTTGTGCTCTCTCTCTCTCTCCCTTTCAAAAATAAACAAACAGTTAAAAAAAAAAGATGAGTTAGAGGTACATTCAGTGCTGGCTGGCTCATTCAGTGGAGCACGCAACTCATGGTCTTGGGGTTGTTTGAAGCCCACGTTGGATGTAGAGATTCTTTAAAATTAAACAAACAAAAAGATGGTGACTTAAAAACTTGAAGGAAGGAGATGGTAAAACTGTGTGCCGAGATCCTTGGACATCCTTGATTTAGAAGCTCTGGCCGGACTCTCTGGGCCAGTTTAGGCAAAACTCTTTGGGAGGCCCCTGGGGGCCTCTCTGGGGTTGGGGCATGGAGGCTTTGCCCATGGGGTGGGTTGGGGGCCATATCACTCCATCCACCCCCTCCCCCCCCCCCCCCCCCCC